CGGATGCTGCAGGCCATCAGTCCAAGGCAGAGTCCCAGCAGCAGTCCCACTCGTGAACGCTCCCCCTCTCCCTCTTTCCGGTGGCCCTTCTCTGGCAAGACTTCCCCGCCTTCCTCCCCAGCAAACCTCTCCAGACACAAGTCTGCAGCCTATGATATCAGTGAGGATGAAGAAGACTAATTTTTCATCTCTCCTTTCCTCTCCCCTCCCTCTGTCCCATCACCTTCAGAAGCTCTCTGTTGAATTCTGAATTGTGATCCCAACACTAAACCTAAGGACAGCTACAAAGGAAAGACAATTGGGGCAAGAGTACTTAGGATGGGGGGACCAGACAGCCTATCCTCTGAGAGACATCACCCACCCCCACCAAGAAAGAGGCTAACTACATCTTAGAAGCCTGTTTGGCATCCATATACCTTCCCCATGGACTTTGCTCTACTGTTTATGTTCATGTGATCTTGACAGGGAAATTGTCATTTTTATTAATTTTTAAAAAATTAGTCTTTCAAATGTAGTAAATAGAACTAATTTTTTGCCCCCAAGGAGTGGGCAGAAGGAAGCGGTGTAATACCCAGAGGCCTTTTCTTCCTGATACACTATAGTATTTGCCTTCCGTTCTGAGGCAAAGAGGCAAACTGTTTTGCCAAGTCCTTCAGGCAATGAGCCATGCTGATGGGTGATTTGGAGGGGAAATATCATAATTTTGGTTTCCTTTAAAAAAAGCAAAAAGCTGAGTAACAGTCACAAATCCCCTAAGTGTACTGCTGGCACATGTGTCAATGTGGCTATGGGAAGAAGGAGATCTGAGTTTAACTTTTCTTGCTCCCTGAGGAGTTTCTTATTGGACCCAATGGGGTCCATGAAGACACTGATGGGGATGGAACCAGACCACATGGCATCTGCTACGGTTTTTCTGCTGTGTTCATCTTCTCAGAAAACTCTGTTGCCCAGTTATTTGGGAGCTCTTGTCAATCTCTTTCCTGTAATCTACCTTTAAAGGGAGGAACACTTCCAGGTTTAGTCTGATTAAGGAGGGGAGTGGGACAATACTCAATCTTATGCAAAGTCAGTTTTGATTAATTTTCTTCCTGAGAGTAAGTCCCTGGCCCTGTGACTCCTATTTTAATACTTATTACCTAGCTTTTTACAGAGGATACTTTGTAAATGTCTGCAGTTTGAACATGATCTGTTAATCCATGTTGCTCATAGCCATATCGAATATTCAGAGAGATTTGCACAGAACATAGGCACAAAAGCATAAGGAAACACACCCCTTTCTAAAGCCTTTTCTTGACCTCTTCCCCTCTTAAGAGTGTCCTTGACTGGAACCAGTGCTCTATGAGGTGTTTATTTTCCCCTGAGAGTTGGCAGCTGGCAGGGACTCCCGTCTGCTGCCCTTCCAGCAAGTCACCGAGCAAGGGCTCACTTTACAAGAGTGTGGTAGGTTCCCTCCCTCTCACTCTGCCTGGTTCCACCTCCCCTGGTATGTTGCCCAGGGGATTCACTGCTTAAATTTCACGTCAGAGAATGCTGAAGCTTAACACTTGCTGTTGAGCATAAGCTCCTTTTAAACCTCTAGCATCCTACAGTACATGACCTAGCAGATCATCATCTATCATAATCCTGTAGCTGGGTTCAGGGTGAAAAATTGCTTATGTCCAGGCACCATCCCATCACTCATAAATACCCCTTGTGGGGGTGGCGTTTTAGTGTTTTCAGCTAAGAAAACCACATCTTATCTTTCCTTGCCCCTCTGCTAGGGCTGTGAGCATCTCATAGTCCCCCCCCAAACACCTTCTGTTAAAACTTGCTCTTCTGCCTGAGGATCGGTGACTAGAATCACTGCCTGCCTGCACAGCAGGACTACCTAGGTCCTCAGATCATCCAGAGAGGCAGAGCACAGCAGAGTAGAGGGACAAAGAGGGGGAAACCTCTTGTCCTGACGGCCTATGAAAATTACATTTCTAAATGTTCTCATGAAGTGCTATTTTTACTATCAAATCTGGTTTACACAAGCTTTGGCTTGGAATCCTTTTTTTGGAACAGTTGAAGTTAATGTTTTCCTATATTACTCAGCTTGATATGATCAAGCTGATATGATCACATATTTTAACTTGCTGCTTCAGTCTTGCCTCTTAGGGAATTCTGCCCGTTTCTGTCAATAGGAAAGCAGTGAAATCACCACTGAAGCCCACTTACGTGTTCTCTCAAAGTACACATGTTATCCAAGTGTATTTGGAAAATGAGGTGCCCAGAGTATGATTTTCCTCCCTGCAGTCACTCTTCTCACGTGTATTGTCTGGATCTTAAGTTTTTGGTCCTTCTCCTCCGCTCTGTAAGTGGGCTGCTTTGGGCATATCCTGTCCTTGGAATATGACCTCTAGGCTGACAAGCTCCATGAGACTGCTAGCACCAGCATGTGCACATGTTCTTGGAAAACTCTCACCCCTTTTGGTGAACCTCTGTGGCCTCAGTCTCCTAACACTAGTATATCTTCAAATAATTTTGACTGAAAGCAAAAAATTTTATGGCGTGGCATGCTAGATACTTTGGGATAAATGTGATCCTACATGCCGGACAAGGGTGGGTGGGTGGAAGAAGCTATTGGGATGATGCATTGTTTGATCATCTGTGCCTAATTAAATGAGGTTAGAGGTTCGCATTCCACAACCATGCATGTGATCTGTAAATCTTTAAATATTATTGTTAATATTAACTTCTAACATTAATTTTAATTAGCTGTTTCCCTGAATCCCACACACAAAGCTGTCAGCCTGAATAGATCAAATGTGGCAGAAATGGGAGAGCCTTAAAAGTTGCTTGGCTTCCAGTGGTTAAGAATCCACCTGCCAATGCAGGGGACACAGGTTCAAACCCTGGTCCAGGAAGATCACACATGCTGCAGAGCAACTAAGCCCATGCACCACAGCTACTGAGCCTGTGCTCTAGAGCCTGCGAACCACAACTACTGAGCCCACGCACCACAACTACTGAAACCCGCGGGCTCTAGGGCCCGCGTGCCGCAACTACTGAGCCCACGTGCCACAGCTACTGAAGCCCGCACGCCTAGAGCCTGTGCTCTGCAACAAGAGAAGCCACCTCAATGAGAAACCCACGCACCACAACGAAGAGTAGCCCCTGCTTGCCGCAACTATTGAAAGCCCACGCACAGCAGCAAAGACCCAACGCAGCCAAAAAAAAAAGTTGGTTGGCCTCAGAGCCTCTCGCTGTAAGATAGAAGGGGAATGGAGACAGAAGCCCTGTAGCCGGTGCTGAGGAGGTGCCATTTCAGCAGTTACCTTGAGATGAGCTGGGCAAAAAGTTTGCTTTTTTCATACACTACACTCAGTAGCACTGAAGGTTGGAGGTTGAAATTGTAGAGGAATAAAAATGGATCATTTGTACTGCTGCAGCTGTTTCTGATAGCTAGAGCCAAAGACCATTATCTTGCTGAGGCTTGGGTAAGAAGGTTGGGGATGCAAGGAGGTTGAAAACCTTGAATGAGAGAAAAAATTTGAGGGAGGTCAAGAGAGCTTTTGACCTTTTCTGATCACTGATAACTTCCTAGGCAGCACCTGAGTTACATTTTTCTTACTTTTGACCACACAGCTGTCCAGGCAGTCTTTGAATATTCCCTCCATAATGGTTCTTCACAGTGATTTTTATTCTGTTTCTTGATGTATGGGTAGCTTTTGTTTTTCTGGAGCTCATTGCCTTTTTAATCCTGTTCCAGACCCTATATCTAAAATCTTTCCAAATCAAGTATATTTCACTGCTTTTGTTTAATTCCCTAAAAGCCATAGCTTTTACATTTTCTGTCAGCACAAACTATCACCAGAAGTTGAATCAGTACAGGTAGGAAAAGAGCTCCCTTAACAATGTTTTTAACTAATGGTATTTTTTTTTAACCTTACCAATATAAGTATTTTTAAAGTTATATTTTTCAAGGTCATGCAATGATTGTTCTTGTTTTCTCTCACAGAATAGATTGTCATGGGATAAAGAGTGGTCCCTAGCTATTATTTTTCCAAGTAAGTAGAACATGTTCTTGGGATTATACTATTAAATGTTAATTTTCTTTAAAACAAAGGAGAAAGATACTCTGCCAAAGTTTAATGTTAGTATTCAGATTGGGGTAGAGAACAAAAGTACTTGATTTAACATTAGGATGACTCCAGTTGTGGTGTTTTTAGCTTCCAAGTGGGCTTTCCCACCCTTCTTAGGGAGGCACTGACTGCTTTGAACACAGAGACTTGATTGGTTGAGTTGTTTTATATTGAGGATCCTGAACAGAACGAGTCTTGGAAAAAAATTCTGGCCTTGGCATGAATGTTGGCCCCATCACCAGTGCCGGTGTCCACAAGGACGTTTTCCTCAATTGGTGTTCAGTATATTGCTTTCCTGTCTGAGTGTTATTAAATTGTTCAGTTATTTTGGCTTTTGTCATTAGCCAAATAAAGGAAAAGTGATTTTATGTAATGTTCCATTTTCTGTGTTTTTGACCTTGTATACATGTGTATGATGTGTTTTATGTATTTGGGGCTTTTACCTGTACTATCAATTCCTTTGCTTTTGCATCCTAATTTGGGGGTTTTACCTGTATGATCACTTTCCTTTGCTTTTGCATCTTAATTTGTCTCTCCATAATAACTCCATGACCATATTATCGGAATTCCTTTTGCTGCTTGGTACAGAAGACTAAAAAAGCCATTGTCCCACAAAGGGAGGCTGATCCAGATCTCCCAGGTCTAATGTCATCAGTGCCCTACTGACACATCTGTAAGGGAAAGAACACCTTTCATCTGTTCTTCAGAAGCCTGGTTTCTTCGAGAGTTTGGGCTGATACTATTTTGCCTGGCTGAGTTCTATTCCTGTTATTATACCAGTAAAACTATCACATACTCTTCCCCCTTTCATTTGCTTTGGGAAACCTCAGAGTAACCTTTTAATATACAAGCTTTATGGGCTAGTAGTGGCACACACAGAGGCAGTGTGCCCAGTTGTAGAACATCAAACTCCATCCTGTTTGTTTATTATAAAACTTAAAATACCTTCCTCAGGCAAGATCCAAAACAATTTCATCCTATTGCATAGTTCACATTCGTGTCTACAGTCAAGTGTATACCATTAGCCAGCTTGCTCTGACAATGGAATCCATCCCCATTTGGTCAAAGCTGAGGAACAGTAAAGAAATCTTGTGCCCATCTAATGAGTGCAGTGTCTCTTTCATTGTCCAAGCAATCCACCTCCAGCTTTGAGGTTCAAATCCAGGTTTGGAGAAGAGAAAGGTTCATATCCAACCTTGTCATCTTTCCTTCGGTAGTATATTCGTGTGAGCACGGTTATCAGAAAAGTCTCCAGGATGAGGAGGTGGCAGTTCATCACTGCAGCATGGGGCAAAATATAATGTAGGTTATACTAACTTACAGAGGTGGTATACCACTAGCAGCCTTGGCATATGAGTTGAACAACACTTTCTCCAATTTGTCCTCAAACCAGGACCTAGAGATATTAAGTTGTCACAGGTAACATAGCAGGTTAATAGTAGAGCCAGAGCCAGAACTTGGCCCTCTACCTCCTGCAATTTGAGGCTAGCACTAAACATTTCTTTTGCATGTTTCATCAGCATGACTTCTGCTTCCTAACCACACCCATTGCTCTCCCTGGAGCTGAGGGTTGAACCCATGGCTTCCTGGGTTGGCCATCAGGGCTGGCCTCAAGCTGTGGGATTGCAGTTCTCCTCTCTGTGATCAGAGAGGTCATAGTCTGCTTAGAGCTTCTGCTAGATTTCTTGCACGTTCCTTTCTCAGTATTCTGAGCAGAACATTCTGAGTATTCTGAGATTGGCTGGCCCAACTTCCGTTCTAAGTTCCTCTCCTCCCTGACCTCCCCCTTTTGCCCTTCCTGAAATAGAATAGGAGCTCCTACGTGCTCACCTTGAGACCTGATTTTAGAAGAAAAGGGAGGCGAACAAGCAATCTGCCCACCGTTGGCCAAGACTGAGAAGATGGATGGCTGCAGGGCAGTCAGAATAAGGAGAACCTGCAGAAGAGAAAAGAGAAGTGAGGGTAGGGGCTCAGCATCCCCGGCACTGAGGCCAGCTGGCCCACTGCTGTGTTTGAGATGTGTCTTGTACTTGCCCTCTCTGAGTACACTTTTCTGAAGCACAGCCTCTTCAGGGCAGACTTGGCTTTTCTAGGCTTCCCCACAATAATCATGGGCAGGCTCGGCAATCACAGGGCTTTTACCCGCTAGCCTGACCCTGAGTGCTTCTGGGGCCCAGATCCTTTCTGTGCCCCTTCAGTCCCTTACTCTATTTTAGGCTCTTCTGTCCTCTGTCTTCCTCTGGACCCTCCAATTCTACCTACTATGTGCCTGTAAGCGGCACCTGCTTAGATCAAATGAGAATTTCTGTGAAATCACTCTGTTAACTGTAAAGGAGTCATTGTGCCTTGGGAATAGGAGAAGGGCCCAGCAAGGAGACAGAAAGAATGAAGTGAGAAGGGAAACAATATTGGGCTAGAAGTCACTGCATTTGGTGGAAAGGTTGTCTCTGGGCTTAGAGAATGGAAAGTGTAAAAAGTAAACAAACGTGAGTTTTAGAGAATTGTCAGAAAAGATGTGAAGATGAAGAGGCAGTGTGATAAGAAGAGATGTGGGTCTGGGAGTCGACAGATCTAGGTTTAAATTCCAGTCCCATCCCTTATGAGCCTTTGAACAAGCCCCATAACATCTCAGTTTCCTCATTTGTAAAACAGAAATAATAATGACTCTGAGGATTATAGTGAATTTAAATGTAATTAATGTATGAAAAGTGCCTAGTATGTGGTATAGACACTTCATAGTTGTAGCTGTGATAATGCTGATGTTTCTGGTGGTGATGAATTGCAGGTTTTTAGAAGTAATGGGTAGTAAAGAAAAGAAAAAAGCAAAGGTATAAGAAATTAAGGTTTGATAATACATGTGTTATGGGTTGCATTGTGTCCTGCAAAAAGATACATTGAAGTCCTAACCCTTAGTACCTCAGAATGTGACCTTATTTGGAAAAAGTATCATTGGTTTGGTAACTAATTGGACATAATTAGTTAAGATGCGGTCATACTGGAGTAGGGTGGGTCCTTCCTTATTCCAATATGACTGATGTCCTTATAAGAAAAGAGACACAAGACACAGACACATGAGGGTAGAATGCCATGTGACATGCCAGGGATGCCAAGGATTGCTGCAAACCATCGGAAGCCAGGAATAGTCAAGGAAGGGTTCTCCCACAGTTTTCAGAGGGAACACGGGCCGCTGACATCTGGCCTCCAGAACTGTGAGACAACACATTTCTGTTGCTTTAAACCACCCAGTTTGTGATATTTTGCTACAGCAATGCTTGGAAGCTATTAAAGCACAGGAAAGCAAAAACTGGGAAAGGGCAGGGATTCTTTTCCAAATCTCATAGGAAACCTAAGGCTTAAGAAGATTCCCGGACCCACTTTTATCCTTTATTAGTCTCAGCTCCTAACCCCTATTATTTGTGGCTCATTATTAACCATCTTTTCTCTCCCAGGGTATAGTTACCTGGAACAGAACAAATTTGGCTCCTATGTTCTGCTCGCCCAGGTGCAGCTTGGCTTGACGAAAAAGGATGCCCAGGGTCCACAGAGCTAACAGGGTGGACACACCAAGGAAAACGTTGATCCATAGAGCTGTGCTCTTCTCTGAAATCTGGTGGCAGGCCAGAAAGTAGTCAATGAGGAAGCAAGCCCTTTTCTCCTTTTATTTCCCCTCTCCCATGGTGGGAAAGGTAAAAAAGCCCCAAAGCCTTGGCCCCTTCCCATTTCTTCTCTCCCCATCAGAGTCCCTGAGCCTCTACTTTTCCACAGCCACCCTGTCTCTGGGGCTACCCCATTCCTGGGGCTCTGAATTAGGGGATATTGGCTCCAGCTATTCCTTCTAGAGTCACAGGTATTTAATGAATCTTGGCCTCTGCTGCCCCTTACTCCTGACTTACATCTGCTGGGTCATAGATGCCATCAGGGAGGAGAAACAGGCCCACCAGGCTCAGTGTTATCTTGAAGAAGGCATACTGGAAGGGGCCCAACATCAGCAGCTGAAGCTTTTTCCTGAAGTGGGAAGAGGGTTAGGACCATGGACCCACAAACCACCCACCCCAAGAAGACCTTCCAGCTCCCTCACCGGGCTCCACCATCATAGACATCAACATGGTCAAATGGATGGGGACTTCGGAAGAAGCCAGAATGTTGAGAGAGTTGGGAACCCTCCTTCTTGCCTCCCACTCACCCTCAGACCAGAATGCTGCCTTTGAGTAAGAACTGAGTGTTGACCCCAACCTCATTAACCGAAATAGACGGAAGGGGAAAGTAAATAGTCCAAAATCCAGTTTGCTCTGTGTGGTAAAGTTTGTAGGGGACAGTGAGCTTAAGTGATGGGAACTTTGGAGTTCTCCTTCCTCTGCTCCCCTTACCCCTGCGTGGGTGCCCAGTGTGTGGACCCTGGCTGCGGGATGCCCGCCCTTTCATCACTGGGTTTGTTCCATAAAAGCCTAATTCCATGAGGCTTGAAGCAGGGCTGAGAGAGCCAGCAGAGGCTCTTGGGAGAGTGCAGGAAGAGGCTAACCTGTTCTTCCAGGCGGCCTCTCCCTCCCACCTTACCTGGTGAGCATGAGTTGTGGGCAGCAGGGGCAGCAGCAGCAGCAGGGGCCTGTGTGGATCATCACTGGGGTGTCCTTCAGTGTCCTTACTACTGCCTCCTTCCCACCAAAGCCTTCCACCATGACCTGCATCAGCAGGTAAAAGCACATCGCATAAAACCTGGAGTTGGGGGAGAGGTGGGCCTGAGAGTACACAGAAGGGGAGGTGGTAGCAGCTGATAGGACAGCCCTTCCTGCCAAAGAAAAACAGACTGCAAAGGGGCCAGGGAGAGGTGGGGCTTCCTGAGGGGATCAGGTAGGGGCTAGGCGTTTTGAGTGTGTGACCTAAGAGGAAGTGAGAGAGAGGACAGGGTGGGAAGAGGGCAATTTCAGGCTGTGGGAATGAAATGGTGCCTGAGGATGAACTGGAAGTTCAAGGGCTCTATTTATGATCAGTTGGTTTGCACGGATTTATGGAAGGGATAGGGGATAAAAGAAGACATGGACTCTGGAGTCCTGGGGTTGAGGGGAGCAGAGTGGGGGACCGCAGAAGGATATCCAGTTCAGCTGGGGGCAGGGCAGGACACTCACGAGGTTATGGCCATTTCCACGAGCATGAGGGCACGAGGGATCCAGAGACCAAAGCAGCAGAACACAGACACTATCTGCTTGGAGAAGAGCAAGGAGCTGGTTAGGGCAAGGAGGGAGGCTTCGTGCTCACCTTTTACAACAAGGGCTCAAGGAAGCAAAACCTAAACATTCGAGGCACCATTACTTCAAAGTGACCAGCTGGAAAAATAACTAGTTAAAGTGACCTTGAGTCAGGGGGCTCTTTTGAAGACTATCTCAACTTATATCACTGGGGTAAGAGTAGGTCAGTTCATCTTTAAGATGTTATTAGAGCATCTGATGTCTTGAGATGGCCCAGGCAGATGTCATCTGGCAGGAAAGGACTTCAGGGGCTTTGTTCTTCCCCCCAAACAGACAGAGCTCACCACATGGAAAGAGAAGTCCCATTTTATGACCTGGGAACATGCCAAAGACCTATCTAATAGCTGTGGGAGCGAGTTAAAAAGACCGATGACATAAGCGTAGAGTGAGCATGACCCCATGGGAAAAGGTTCTTTTCCTCCTACCCTCTGAGGAACAGGGAGTTGGTGTGTCCAAGAAGGAGGCTTGCAATGTTGTAGCAGGGGAGTAGCGAGTGAGGCTGCCGGTGGGCTGAGAGGGTTCTTCAGCTGTTTCTGTGGCTCTAAGATATTTCAAACGCTCCATCCCACTGCCTGTTGACCTTCCAGGCATGGGGTCCTGACTGCAGATATCAGACTAAAACCCTCACCCTAAGGTGGTAGAGGAAGGCAACTTGAATTGTTGAGTTTAAAGGAATCCTCAAGATGGACCCTGCCTCCCCTCCAGTCCCTCTCAAAAGGCAGCTACAGGGCCCTCACCGTGGGTGCAGAGCTGCTCCAGAGCAGAGTCTTCCTCTTGATGGGGCAGTAAGTGTTCTTGTATAGGTAGACAGCATCCTCCAGGAAGATGGCAACTGAGCCCAGGGCAAGCAAGGTCATGATGACCGTGAGAGAAATTTCCACAGGGCCCGATGCTAGAGTTGAAAGAGAGGGCAGACTCCAGTGAGCTGAAGATCAGGACTGAGGAGCAGAAGATGTGGGCTTCCTCATGTGGATCTAAATTGCTTTACCATATCTAGAATGACCTGGTCTAGGCCCTCTCATGCAGAAGATGGGCTATTTCTTAGATCTAGAGTATCCAACATGTGACTAAGAAATAGTCATTCTTCTGCATTCATGAGAGACTAGACCAGATAATTCTAGGTATGGTAAGGCTTATCTGAACCAGGATATAGACACCAAACAAGTTTGTACATAATTAGCAAAAATTCTAAATTAGGAGGTCAACAGGGTTTATTCAGTTTTCTATTTCAGTGTCAGGTGTTTTGCTAGCAGAACAAGGACCAATTAACATTATAATTAAAGCAGAATATAACTCTTGGTTTACTTTAGAACTGTTTAAATTTGATTTCAAAAATTATGTCACAAAACTGGGACATAGGAAGGGACTTTAACAAAAGAAATGGGTATGAGTAAAGACTCCAAGGACATATGACCCACGTTGGCCTCACACTTAGTCTTACATTAAATGTGGCCCAGTAGCTCTCTTTAGTGTTTATTGAAGTCATTTGAGGAGTTGTTAAAAAGTAGCTGTCCAGGCCCTATCCGCATAGATGCTGTTTCAACAGATCTGGAACAGATCTGGGATGGACCCAGTAATCCACATTTTAAACAAGCTCGCCTGATAATGGTCAGAGGATAACAAACAATTTTTCAACAAACACCAGTGAAGCTCCTCTGGCCTCACCATTGCTAACAGGAAAACATTAATAGAGTCACAATATTTGTTTCTGAACATTTTCTAACCAATGCAACAATTAGTTTTAAACAAAGGGTTCTGTGTCCTCAGTGACTAAGCCTGGACCCTCATTTATCCAAGTCTCTTCCCTAGTTGGCAGACTCCTTCCTTTAAGCCACTTAACTGGCTAGATGACAGATGAATTGAGGGAAGACTGCCAGAGTCCAAGCCACTGTCTTATTACATTGGGAGTAAAGTATGAGGAAGGCATTGGCTGGTCTGCCCTATGTTTTGGTGACTGGGGGCAGCTCAGGCCGAGATATTAATGCTGACACCAAAACAGGGAGGAAGGAGACCATACCACAGTAAAGACTTGAGTTGTCATCTGGGTCAGTCATACCTGGTGGCACCACAAGGAGCAACCAGGACAAAGGTGAATTTGTCAAAAAATATGTTGATCCTGGTTGTTCTTATTTCAGGGCACACATTTTTCTCTCTGTTTCTGTTTACTTTAGCCAAGAGGCCCTTTACCTCTGACCACAGTTAGGTCTGTGATCAATCCAGAGGACCTGCCATGGGGAAGGTGGCCCTTGGATTCCAGGTCCCAAGTTGTACTTCTGAAGTCAGTAGTAAGCTTTTCCATTCTATTACAGGCCTCAAAAGACAGGACTGTGCTATTTTTCTTCCCTCCTCCCCATTCCTGCCTCCACCCCGCCTCCACTTAATTAGGATACAGCCCTCTGGGTGACCAAATTACTGGCTTGGCATTGCTGTTGCTGTTTAACTCTGTTGCCTCTTTCTCAATTACCTCTACAGATATTGCTCCAGTAGGCTTTGCAAATTTTAAACATTAAGAAAACAAAACAAAACAAACAAAAGCCAAAAAACACCTGGTTGCAGTCCTTTATTAAAAAGAGACTTTACCTTCCTTCCTTGAAACTTTAAAAATATAAACATCATGGGGTGGGGGCTGACACAATTTTACCCTTATACAATAAAAATGTGGATTTAAAACAATTACGATTGTTTTATCATGAGATACACATAAAGCCTTCCATATATCAAAATAATTCCAGATAGATTAAAGAGATAAACCTTTAAAAATCAAACAGGGAAAATTGAGAGAAGGAAAAGAAAAGAGAGAATTGTATCTGCATCAAGACTTTGGAGAGGGAAGACCTACCTAAGCTTAGGTGTAATCCAAGAAATCACAGTGAGAACGATGGTCAAAATTGACATAAAGAGTTTAAACTTCTGAATGTTAAAAAAATATATAGGCAGCAAACAGACTGGGGGAAAGCATGTTTAATAAATGTGTACACAAGTTTAAAATTTTTATTACATGAAGAAAATAACAAAAACAGAAGGCAAATGGGAAAATGATACTAACACAGTTCAGGAAGTGGGAAAATAGTCAACCTGCCTAGCAGCCAGAGAAGAGCAAAATAACAGTAATATATAGCCCTACATTTTAAAAAACGTAAATGTCCAACAATACTGAAATTATTATGTAAACTACTCAATAGAATATTATGCAGGTGTGAAAAATTTGTGCATACCATAAAAAAATTTTTGCAAAGACTATGTACTAATATTAAAAAAAATGTGTTAACACTGTTAAAAAACAGAAAAACTTATTAACAGATCCACACATTTATGGTCATCAGATTTATGACAAAGGCTTCACTACAATTCAGGGGGAAAGGATTCTTTTTGAGAAAGTGCTGGGTTAATTGCATCTCGTTTAATATGCAAAGTGATAAAAAAGAACACTGACCCCTCCCTCACATCATACAAAAATACCTAAATGTGAAAGTTAAAACAATAAAGTTTTTTTTGTTTTTTATTTTTTTTGTGGTACGCGGGCCTCTCACTGCCGTGGCCTCTCCCGTTGCGGAGCACAGGCTCCGGACGCGCAGGCTCAGCGGCCATGGCTCACAGGCCCAGCCGCTCTGCGGCATGTGGGATCTTCCCGGACCGGGGTACGAACCCGTGTACCCTGCCTCGGCAGGCGGACTCTCAACCACTGCGCCACCAGGGAAGCCCAACGATAAAGTTTTTAGAAGAAAACAGAGAAGTATACCTTAATGACTTTGAGATAGGCAAAGATCCTTTTAAAATAGGACACAAAAGCACTAATCATAAAGAAAAAAAATTGATAAACTGGACTTCCTTAAAATTAAGAATTTCCATTTGACAAAGAAAACCATTAAGACAATGAAAGGGCATGCTCAGACGGAGAGAAGATATTTGCAATACAAATACCCAACAAAAGACTCGTATCCATAATATATAAAGAATTCCTATCAGAAAGAAAAAGAACACAATTTTTAAAAGTGAAAAAGACCTAAACAGTAACTTTTCTACAGAAGATATCCGAATGTTCAAGAAGCATAAAAAGGTGCTAAATATTAATAGTCACTGGGGAAATACAGATGTGAGGTGCCGTTATATACCCACCAAAAGGGCTAGAATTGCTTTTAATTTTAATCATCCTTTGACCGATGATTCTAAGTGCTGGTGAGGATGAGGAACAATTGGAACTCTCACACATTGCTGTTGGGAGTGGTGCCACCACTTTAGAAAACAGTTTGGTAGTATCTATTAAAGCTTAACATACACCTACCCTGCGACACAAGAATTCCACTCACGGAAACATATTTGATAGAAATGAGTGCCTTAATCACCAAAAGAATGTTCAGAGCAGCATTGTTCATAATGGCCAAAACTGGAAACAGTCCACATGTTCTTCAACAAAAATACAGGTATGGGCTTCCCTGGTGGTGCAGTGGTTAAGAATCCGCCTGCCAAATCAGGGGACACGGGTTTGATCCCTGGTCCAGGAAGATCCCACATTGCCGCGGAGCAACTAAGCCCGTGCGCCACAACTACTGAGCCTGCACTGTAGAGCCCGCAAGCCACAACTACTGAAGCCCGCACGCCTAGAGCCTGTGCTCCCCAACAAGACAAGCCACCGCAATGAGAAGCCTGCACACCACAACGAAGAGTAGCCCCCGCTCACCGCAACTAGAGAAAGCCTGCGCACAGCAACGAAGACCCAGTGCAGCCAAAAATAATAAAAATAAAAATCATTGTCCTTTACTGTATGTAATTTATGACTAAAACAAACAAATCTTTATGTGAACAAAGCAGAATGCAAAATTAGCAAAGGGAATTTCCCTGACAGTCCAGTGGTTAGGACCTGGTACTTTCACTGCCAGTGGCCTGGGTTCAGTCCCTGGTAGGGGAACTAAGATCCTGCAAGCTGCATGGTGTGGCCAATAAATAAATAAAAATAAAAAATAAAAATAAGTAGCGTGGTAAAATTATAACCATGTTTAAAGGATTTGGGGAGAGAAAGGTAGAAAAGAGTTGATGGAAAGAGTGGGGCCCTAATATCTTTATCATATAAAATGGAAAGTGAAGAAGTACTGTCCATAGTTGGCAGAATAAGAAATAAAATATAGGTATAGTATATACAGCTATACAGATAACCAACTAAAAATATTGACATAACTATGTGGAAAGAGTGGAAGAAGTTTGGTGCTAAGTGAATTAAACTTTCATGTATTATAGAGGCAGCTACAGATAATGTCCAAAATTGATACCACAGGAAATAATGGTAATTTGAAGGTAACTATCAGAATAATCATCATCTAAAAAAGGAGGATGAATCATCAGCTAAAAAAGGAGGACTTCCCTGGTGGTCCAGTGGTTAAGACTCTGTTCTTCCACTGCAGAGGGTACGGGTTTGATCCCTGGTCAGGGAACTAAGATCCTGCATGCCGTGTGGCATGGCCAAAAAAAAATTTTTTTAAAGAAAAAAGAAATGAGAATAAATAGGGCAGGGGATAGTTGATTTTCTTTAGTAGCCTTTTTGTACTATTTAAATTTTTAACACATGTTCATGTGTTACTTTGATAAAATAAAAACATTAAAAAATCATTGCCTAGAAAAAAGCCTAGAAATTAATTAACAATGCTGTCTTTGAGTGATGATACTGTGGGTGGCTTTTGTCCTCTTTCTTTTCCAATTATTCTATAGTGAATACGTATATTATAACAAAAAGTTTTTTTTAAACACATACTTTGCCAAACATAGAATGACGTGAAAAAATTCATATGATATCATGCTTATAAAAACAGGACATAAAATTGTAGTATAGTATGATTTCCACTAATGTTAAATAAAAGCATAGAAGACAGAACTTATGCTACGATATTTGCAGTGCTGGTC